ATACATGTATGTTGACCCATATGATATTGTCATTTTCAAAGTTAATAAAATCAGAAATTTCATGAAATTCAACCCAACATATATGTAAATATGTATATTTATGCATATAATTTTTATTCATACTAACGGTAGCCATACTATTTAATACATACAAAATAGTGCACTTTGACTTCTCACTTAACAATAAATCTTGAGATCTTCCCATATCCATATGCATAGAGGTGCCTCATTCTTTTTTTTTGTTTTTGGTGACTATTTATTAGTTTTCTTGGCAAACTATTATTACTTTAAAATTTACGGAGAGTAAAAAAAATTTTTTTTTGAAATGGAATCTCCCTCTGTTGCCCTGGCTACAGTGCATTGGTGTCATTATAGCTCACTGCAACCTCAAACTCCTGGGCTGAAGTGGTCCTCCTGCCTCAGCCTCCCGAGGATTTTGTGTTATACTTAGAAAGGACTTTAGCATTCCAAGATTATAATATCCTCTTACATTTTCTTCAAGTACTTCAATAACTTCATTTTTTAGGAATGAAGAATGAATCCACTTAATTTTTTTTTCAAGATAGCAACCTATTATCCAAACACTCATTTAATCCTTACAGGAGCTTTATGTTGGATATAACTACATGTCTTCATTTTAGAGATGAAGAAACAGAAACAGAGAGAAGTTAAGTAATTTTCCCCTATTGCAAGTAACGAATGGCAAAGTTGGTGGGATCTAAACACAGTCAGTTGACTTTAATGTCAATGTACTTTTTCATTACTCTGTTGAGCCTTTCTTTTCCTTTTCTTTTTTTTTATTTTTTGAGACAAGGTCTTACTCTGTCACCTGGGCTGAAGTGCAATGGTGTGGTCATAGCTCACTGCAACCTTAAACTACTGACCTCAAGCGATCCTTCTGCCTGACATTCCCTAGCAGCTGGGACTACAGGCACGCACCACTACGTCCGGCTAATTTTTCTAGTTTTTGTGGAGACAAGGTCTTGGTCTTGCTCAGGCTGGTGTCGAACTCTTGGCCTCAAGTGATCCTCCCATCTCAGCCTCTCAAAGTGCTGGGATTACAGGGTGAGCCACTGCGCCCACCACCTTCGGCCTTTCTACAGGAACCCACCACCCAATATCAATATGAGGCAAACACTCTTTTTTTTTTGCCCGCTCTCCCTCCCTCCCTCCCTCCCTGGCTGGGAGCTCTGCATTCTGGGCTTTTTTTTTTTTTTTAAGTCACAAGTCAAACACAGTATTCAAATGTTTGCAAGAGCAAATTTGTTTACTTAGGAGTCTGATTAGCAAGTTGTTACTTAGTAAGAAGTAGGAAATTTGACACTTTCTCACCTCTATTTCATCAACAGTTCTCTTTGTTACCAAGAGACTTCATTCTTGAAGTAAGATTTATTTCTCAGCTCAGTGTGGGGTTTTCCCTGCAAACGATTGTTCTCATTAAATTTTTGAATCATCAGCTGTATAAATATCTCTAGAACATGTCATGTAAACAAACACAAAACTGTTAAAAATTAAGTTGAACAGCGTAAAAAAATTAGCAGAGTGTGATTCAGTGAAAAGAAGGAAGTGTTATATATATTATAGTTGGAGACCAGGATAAAGGGCAAGAAGGCCTGAGGTCATTTTCCAGTTCTATGACTGACATCATATGACTTGACTCTGGCCAAGTCATTTCTTTCTTTTTTTTTTTGCTCTTCTTTGTGCCTATTTTCAAACAGGGCCAATAACAGTAATAAAACAGCCCCTCACTTTTCCCTCGTTTACTTATTTTATGCCTACAATGGGAATTAAATTAAACACAACACAACACACACACACACACACACACACAAACAAAACCCTAAACTTATTCAGGGCTGAAAAGTCGGCTAAATTCCAGAGAGTCTGTTTAGATTCTGATGTGTAGACCTTTCTTCCATGGGAGATTTTCCAATTGTTTCACAACTATAATTCACATTGCCTTACAATGTTCTCTTGCAAAAGTAAATATTAAAAACATATTTTGAAGTGTTCTGATAAAATACATTAAAACATTATAAAGTATTTCAATCTCCAGGTGTTTGTTACTTATTACGATCAGAGTATCTCTCTCTCCCCTCTCCCCTTTTTCTTTCTCTCCCCTCATCATTTATATATATATATCTTCCCTGATACAAGTGTTGGGAAATATGGTACATGAAGAGCAACAATGCAACTGGGGTGCTCTAACACTTGAGAATAGTATTCTGAGTGTACAACAATATATATATATATTTGCAACCAAGAAAAAGTTCACAATGACAAGGAAACTTGAGTATAAATCAGTAAATCATTTTGGAGCAAAGAATTGGAGAACATAGAGAAATCAATGTCATTCAGAGTCTATGCCTCCACAGTAAAAGATCCAGAGGTCGTGCGGGTGGTGGTGTAGCCATGGGCTTTAGAGCCATGAAAGATCTGTGTTCAAATGCTGCCTCTACCATGTCCAAGCTGTGTTATTTTAAGTGAGATTCTTAACCTCTCTGAGCCTTAGGTCTTTAACTTATAAAATTTTCATATAGCAAAATTCAGTGTTTGTGGCATATAGGTTTTGAGTTTTGACAAATACATAGTTGTATATCTAACACTATAGCTATGATATGAACTGTTTCATCACCCTAAAGATTTCTTCATGCCATTCTTTAGTAGTTAACCACACCCTCATCCCTCTCAACTCCTAGCCACCACTAATCTGTTCTCCCTCTCTATAGTTTTGCCTTTTCAGAATGTCATACAAATGGAATCATATAATATGTATGGCTTCTTTTGGGTCTGACTTCTTTCACTTAGCAAAACCTACTTGAGATCCATTCAGGTTGTTGCATGTAGCAATAGTCCATTCTTTATACTGCAGAGTAGTATTCCATGGTATGGATATACAGCTTGACAGAATGTGAATTTGCAGAGACCTGAGGCAGCATGAGGCCGTGGGGGAGGCTTAATGTTTCAACAACATTGTGTTAAATTTGATGAAGAGTTTCAAACCCGTCCTCCCTCTTCTTCTTTTTTGTGTCCTAGCAAGGTTATCTTTTTTTTTTTTGGTAACATAATTAGCCCTCTTCTGATTTTTGTCTTTCTCTAGGTGGTATCTTGGAACTCTACTTACTCATTTATTATTTATTATAGTTTGCTTTTTTAGGGTCCACATATATATATCTATACACACAAATATATACATATGTATAAACATAAAATTGGCAATCTCTGATGTATAATTGTGAATGTTGGGGTGAGGGTGTATATTAGTCTTCTGGAGCTGGAAGCAGCTGAAGGCCTATTGACCTTTAGTCTGTTGAGAGATAAGTACTACTGGAAAAAAAAAACCTCTCGGTAATTATATAAGGTGTTCACTATGAGATATAAGAGAACTTAACCAAGGTGGTAAGGCAGTGTTCCAGGCCCCCCTCTGGCTCTAATACATTTAGGGATCAGAACATGGAATCTTAAGAGAGTTGCTCCTATTATCCCTGGTAAATAAAATTTGCTAAAATGGAGATCAGCATAAACTGTCAGGTTTTGATACCTGAAGCAATGTAGGTAGTTTCAGATGATACCAAAGGTATAGCATGCAGAAGTAGGTTGCTGAGGGGCCGGGCATGGTAATCCTAGCACTCTGGGAGGCCCAGGCGGGAGGATCCCTTGTGCTCAGGAGTTCCAGACATGTCTGAGCAAGAGGGAGACTCCGTCTCTACAAAAAAATAAAAAAAAAAATTAGCCAGGTGTGGTGGTGGGCACCTGTAATCCCAGCTATTCAGGAGGCTGAGGCAGGAGAATTGCTTGAACCCAGTCCAGGTGTTTGAGGTTGCAGTGAACTATGATGAGGCCACTGCACTCTAGCCAGGGCAACAGAGTGAGACTTTTGTCTCAAAAAAAAAAAAAAAAAAAGGGAGATTGCTGAGATGGATTTAAGAATTCACAAGTGGTCAAAGTTCATGGTGTCGAATGAATTAAGCATATAAACATTAGAATCCTATAGGCTGATTGCAGGTGTTAGGAGTAAATTTGGACTTCAGGAATTTGTGTCTTCCACAGGCTATGATCTCTTATCATCTCCAGGGCTCCCGCACTTAGAAGGATAAGGAAAGATTTTTGAACGAATACATGAAAATCCACGATTTCGGTGAAGTAACGAATAAAAGGACGCCAGGCACGGTGGCTCACGCCTGTAATCCTAGCACTCTGGGAGGCTGAGGCGGGCGGACTGTTTGAGCTCAGGAGTTCGAAACCAGCCTGAGCAAGAGCGAGACCCCCGTCTCTACTAAAATTAGAAAGAAATTAATCGGACAACTAAAAATATATAGAAAAAATTAGCCGGGCATGGTGGCCCATGCTTGTAGTCCCAGCTACTTGGGAGGCTGAGGCAGGAGGATCGCTTGAGCCCAGGAGTTTGAGGTTGCTGTGAGCTAGGCTGACTCCATGGCACTCTAGCCCGGGCAACACAGTAAGGCTCTGTCTCAAAAACAAACAAACAAACAAACAAACAAACAAAAGAATAAAAGCAGGTGTCCAGCCGGTTGAGGTCTTACAATGTCGTCCTGAAACATTTGGACCCTGGGCGCCTGGTATGAGGGACTTCCTGACCCCTGGAAGAGCCCAGGGAAGGCAAGAGGGCCCCTCTGGGGAGCAGTCAGGAATACTAAGCACTAAAGATACAGAATCCTGACCACAGCTACTGAACAGAAGTCCACCATGCTTCAGGGCCCAAGTCGCGTTCCCTGGATCCCTCCTGGGGTCCATCCTGGATGCTCACCCCCGTTTCTTGCCATGGGCTTGCCCTCGCTGCCGCCCTCACTAGAAGCAGCATTCTCCCCGCCTGATTTCGCAGCGCCCAAAGACCAGGTGAGAGTCAGTGGAGCGCGCACACCAGGCCTTGCTACGGCTCTGAGCCGCGAGGGGCACCTCCGCACGCAGTAAGTTTAGCCAGACGCCAATCCTGCGCCTTTCTCCGACGGTCCTGCGTTGGGGAGACGGCCCCACAGCGCATGTGCGGCGCCGACATGGCGCTGTTCCCTACGGCGCTCCGTAGAGCTCTCTCTGTGAGCTCCACGTAGGCCGCGCAGGCGCCCTTGGCGCACCGTTCACCTGCTGCCGTTGTCGCCGCCGCCGCCGCCGCTGCCGGGGCTGGATGGGGGGCCGAGGGCAGCTAGGGGCACCCGGAAGAAAGAGACGCGGCGGCGGCGACGCCGACACCCGCAGGACGAGTGTCCACACTCGCCCGCAAGCTCAAGGAGGAGGCGGCGAGGCTGGGCCCCAGCTGTCCCTGGTGTAGAGAAGCCGCTGTCGCCGCCGCGGCCGGGACACCCCGGACTCTTGTCCCTCAGGTCTCATTCACACTCAGGACCCTGCGCTGCGCCATGTTCAAGAAACTGAAGCAAAAAATCAGCGAGGAGCAACAGCAGCTCCAGCAGGCGCTGGCTCCTACTCAGGTACGATGGCCGCCGCTCTCCTCCCCGAGTTTCCGACACCCTTAAACCGGTCCGGGGGCTAGAGGGCGGGGACAGGGTTGGGAGGGGGGCAGTTCTTCCGTGACTTTTGACCTCTAACTTGAGGACTCTTCCCAAACTCCAGACCAGAAATGAGCTCTGGGCGGCCAAGGTCCTCTGTGACTCCTGACCCAGATTCTCCCATCCCCTAACTCCATCCAGTAACGAGTTGACGGGGGTGGCCGGATCCATCGTGACATCTGATCTCTGTTAAGAGATTTCCCTTAGGTCCGACCCGGACCTGAGTTTGGATGAACGCGAGGCTGTAAACTTAGGTCATTTCTGACCCATATAGGAGGTTTGCCCCACCCATCAGAGACCTCAACCGGGAGTGAGGGCGAGGTGGGAAAACCCAGGTCCCTTGTGACATTTGACCTCTAATCGAAGTGTCCCTTCTCCCACGCCCAACCTGAAATTGAGTATGGAATGACCAGGATCCGGCAGGACTGACTCCTCACGCAAGTCTCCTAAGTCCAAACCCTGGTTTAGGGGTGAGGGCCGGGGTCTAGCCATTCTGGGCCAGGCTACTTGCAGGCGCGATGGGACTTGAAAGAGGTGGCTGCGTGGCCAGAGTCCAGCGCCCGAGGCTGTCACGAGTTAGGCACTTTGCATAACTTGGTTGATCCCGGACGGGTGGAGGGGCAGACACTCTGAGGCCCTACTAGCACTGTGCCTGTCCCCATCCCTGCTTCTGCTTTTTAAAAAGTCTTGCTGCTCCTAGAACACGGTTACGTTTGTTTTTCAGGAATGCTGTTGTTTCAGGAAAAGTTTCCAGGGAAAAAGGGGCGTGTTAGTAGTGTTAATTTAAGGAAACAGTTTTCTAAGCGCTTACTGAATGTGTTCAAGTGCTGGCAGCACAAGGTCTCAACAGCGAAGTCTCTGAGGGCTTCTGCAGAAATTCTTCCCAGTCTTTCTGAGTCTCAACAGATTAAGCAAATAAATCTCTCTCTTAATTTTAGGGTATCTGGTCTTTGCTTGTGGTTGCAAGAAAGGCTGAGTTTTGACTAATTATTACAGGAGGTGTTTCTAATTTTTTAACATAACATTTATCTTATAAACAACTGTTGCATCGAGTTATTCCAAAACTATAAATTGAAGCTATTCTGTTTCAATTTAAAGCTCGTGTAGAGTAAAACATGGTGCTTGAGAAAAACATCAGAATGACACTGAAAGCTTGCCTGTTCCCTAGTGTAAAGTGTAAATGGTGATTGAAGTTTAAGTAATAAAGATTGTACTTTTCACACCCTACTACAGTCTTTTTTAACTTTACAAAACACTCTTATTTAAGAAACAGAGAAACCTTACAAGTGAGGCAGAGGTGAGGAATGTGGGGAAATGGGCATGTTAGTGAATGTTAGTGAATGTAAGGCGCTTATGTTTGGGAATGTATAAAATATCATTGAGACAGGATTACATTTCTAGAAATTTATTCTCAGAAGATTTAGGATGTATTGAAGATTTAGCTACATGGATTTTCATTTCAGCGTTGTTTTAATTGGTAAAAAATTAGCTAAAAGTTCAACAATGAGAATTGGATAATAAACTGTATCAGGCAGTTTGGTTATTTTATGCAGCCATAAAAAAGGTTAACATATTAATTAATTATTTTTGAGACAAGGTTTTGCTCTGTTGCCTGGGCTAGAGTGCAGTGGCGTGATCATGCTCACTGCTCACTGCAACCTCCAACTTTTGGGCTCAAGTGATCCTCCTGCCTCAGCATCCCCAGTAGCTAGGACTATAGGTGTGTGCCACTGCTCCCAGCCAAAAAGGTCACTATTTATTGGGTCCTTACTATTTGCCAGGTATTTTGCTTAATACTTTACGCAGATTATTTTATTTAATCCCATGTAAACCAGTGAGGTAGATATTACTATTATTCCTCTCTTGTGAATGAAGGAATGAGTCTCAAAGAGGTTAAGAAACTTGCCTGATGTTACACAGCTAGTGTTAGAGCCCATAGAAAAGTATTATCACAGAAAGATATTTGTGTTGAAAGACAGATTAAAAGCAGCATGTAAAATGTGATCCCAGTTTTGTGGGAAAGAGTATGTGTGTAAGTATATTTATGCACACATATAGGGAAAATAGTTTAAGAAGGATGTACTCTAAGGTGCTGGTAAGTTATTGCGTGTGCTTTTTCTTATTTGTAATGTTTATCTTCATGAAAATGAATTACTTTTGTGCATTAACAAAGAGGTGGTTGTTTTTAGTAATAATAAACCTAGTTACAAACTAAGATATAAGAGCTTTCATTTTCTATAGCTTAATGCTTCTGGTGACACAGTGCATCTGGATCAAATAAAGTCACTTTGTGTATAAAGATTTAAAATAATCCTTTTGGGTAATATGTATATTTATCCAGAACTCAAAAGTAAGTGGTTAGTGATCAACTACTGATAGAAATCTGATTCTCTTCTGGTTCCAAATCTTTAGCTATTCATAACCCTTTAGGAATGAAAAGTTCTAGATATTGTTTATAGAGAATTAAGGATTTTTTTAATGCGTGAATTAAAAAAAAAGAAATGCTTTTTCATGACATGCCTTTTGGAACAGATTACACATATCCTTGTTTTCCTAAGGAAAAGATTTTCAATTTGTAATAATATCTTGATGATTCCAGGTTATCATTTTTGGGTATAAATTATTTTGTGAAGGCACCATGCCCTCAAGGATTTAATGAGGTGTGAAAGGCAGTTAGCTTTTACCCACTGAAGAAAATTTGTTCATTTGTTCTTGGTCTACTTTTTGTAGTTGTTTCATAATCTTCCTTGCTATCTGCCATGTATCTTTCTTTTTCCTGCTTTTGAGCAGTTGTGGACTTAGAAACAAGACAGGTAAACTTGTAAAACTTTGTATAAAGTAAGGGCAAGTACCTGAGGGATTCTTTAGTGTATTTTAGTGTATTAACACAAATTTTGAGACATTTATTTTGAGTTTTCAGGGCCTTTGTGTGCCTATTTCCTGGTTCTTAGTTTGCTTTCCTTAAGTGAGATTGCCTGATAGATTGGTTTCAACTAGAGTGAGTTGTCAAGTATAGATAATTCTCAGATAAATGAAACATTTGTATCACAATATTTGCAAAACTTTCCAGCAATAGTAATAGTGATATTGTATAGAGTCCTTTAAGGTTTTAAAAGCATTTAACAAAAACAAGACAGCCTTCTAATAATCCCCCAATCATATCTTTTCTTTCTTTTTTTTTTTTAGAGATGAGGTCTTGCTCTGTCACAAGCTGGGAAGCAGTGACACAGTCGTGGCTCACTGCAGCCTCGAACTTCTGGCCTCCAATGATCCTCTGCTCAGTCTCCTGAGTGGCTAGGACTTCCCAATCACTGCTATTTGGTTGATGCTAATATCCTTCCTTGATGGATATTATTGTTAATATTACTTTAAATTTAATTAATTAATTTTTTGAGATAGGGTCTTGCTGTGTTGCCCAGGCTAGATAGAGTGTAGTGGCATCATCATAGCTCACTGCAGCCTCAAACCTCCTTAGCTGGGTTCAAGCGTTCTTCCTGCCTCAGCCTCCCAAGCAGCTGGGACTACAGGTACACGCCACCATGCCTGGCTGATTTTTCCATTTTTTGTAGAGACAAGTTCTCACTAAGTTGCTCATGCTGGTCTCAAACTCCTTGCCTCAAGTGATCCTCTTGCCTCGGCCTCCCAAAGTGCTGGGATTACAGGCATGAGCTACCATGCCTGGCCAAGGTGGATATTATTTTAAGTAATCATTTGCCCAACTTTGATGATAACGTGAAGCCTAATAACTAATTAAAAATAGTTTTAAAAGTTTCAAATCAAGTTTCACTTAATATTGTTTTTTTAACAACAAGTATCTATTTTGGATTTTTAAACTTCTTACAGCACTAACTTGATAAAAGAAACATTAAGAAGTCATATAGACATTGTAATTTCTTGGGGTATCTGTAGTACATGAAAAAAATATTTTAAAACATGTTTAGCCTTTTTCAAATATTTGTAAAACTTAAACTTTAGAACAGATACAAAAAGACAAATATTATGCGATTCCACTTAAATGAGATACCTAGAGTAGTCAAATTCATAGAGACAGAAAATGGAATGGTGGTTGCCAAGGGCTGAAGAGAGAGAAGAATGGGGAGTTACTGTTTAGTGGGTACGGAGTTTTCAGTTTGGGAACATGAAAAACTTCTGGAGAGGGATGGTGGTGGTGGTTGTACAAGGATGTAAATGTACTTCATGCCACTCAACTGTACACCTAAAAATATTTAAAATGGTAAAATTTATGTTTTGTGTATTTTACCACAATAAGAAAAGTTAAATAAAGCAACATGTGGGCCCCACTTTAAGCCTGCAGAATCATCACTCTTTGTAGAGTGGGGCCCCAGAATAATAGATTATGTGGTAGAAATTTACAAAACAAAAACAAACAGCAAAGAATTCCACAGATAGCAAAGAGTCCCCTTCTGAAGGGACATAGCCTTATTGTAAGTTCATATTTACTAAATAATTAGTCTCAATCTTCCCCCTGGGACGAGAGTATTAGGAAGGGAGGGGAAAGGGGCAACAGAATGGAAAACAGAAAAGGGGGAAAGAAGCCAGTCACAGTCTTGAAATTGGGGAAAGCATAACTCCCAGAGAGAACAGTTAGATCAGAAGGTACTTTATTAAAGACATGATGAAAAGTTCTAATAATTTTGGTACCTGAAATATAAAGGTTTATGTAAAGAATCACCCCCAAGTTACTTTGACCATTCTTTCAGAGCTGGGATGTCAAATTGATTTGACAGTGACTTTCAGCAGTGCTGTGATGAGGATTCAATGGCTGTGTCCCTGCCATGACTGATTATTCATAGGTGTGGGAGAGAAAAAGAGTGAAATGAACCAGATTATTTGTTATGCTTGTGCAACAGTAACATCTCACTTATTTGGGACATAACTAAAAAACCAGAAAATATGTCAAA